TTTTTTTTTTTTCTTCCTGCTTACTCATCTATTATGACGTAGGCTAAGTTGTCGTGCAACGAAGGGACGACAAGTACCTCTGCGCTTGCCTGCGGGAAGGGGGAGTAGAAGACGGGAAAATAAATATATAAAATAAATAAATAAATGAAGTCAACTTGAGGATGGCCAGAGGGGAGTACAAAACGTTGAAATGTGTTAGAAAAGGATAGAGCGAAAAATTGGTTGGAGAAAAATCAAATCTGATGCAACACGTTGCAACGGTGTGTAGTAGACGGGATTGTTTTTCGCGGCTATCATTTCCATCACTACACTTTTGCAAATCGCTTCTTCTTTTTTCTGGAGACCCCGCGTATGAATGAGTTGTACACATGGCAGAGCATATAACAGCAGTTGATACAAGGGGAAGTTGCCCCTCTGGCGTGGTGGGCGTGTCACTTATTCACACGCACGACGCGACGGCATTAGTCAGAAGTAGTTGCTCTACATGTATTGCATCGCCAATGTGGATAAACTAAATAAATAAAAAAAAAAAAGGAGTGGGGAATAAATAAGTACCTTCATTTTGTGTGGAGAAATCTACGCGATGGAAACAGGGGGGAAGAAGAGGCTTTTCCAAAAAGGTGAATCAGAGGGGCACCTATAAAAACTATCTCAAGGGTTCCTCTTTTATTGCAATTGGAAGAATTTTTTTTTTTTAATACAATTTTATTTATATGATGAACAAATTTATTAGTTAGTGGAAGTAAATCTCTTGTAGTGAAAAGGAAGGAGGGGGGGACAGCAGGATGAAACAAACATGTGAAGGGAACTTTTAACGGTAGGTGGGTGGGTATAACATGATATCTACATTTGTGGAAGAGCACATATATGCTCGATGGAGTTATACTATCCCGCAGGTGTAATGTACGTTTTGTACAGGCGTAAGTGTCACCTTTATTTCACATGCACTAAGAGTCGCACCCACAAATGTAAAAGGCAACGTGCGCCTCAGTAGGGTTCAGATTCAACCCGCATTATTTGCGGCTACTTCTATAACATACATATTTTAGGGCGGTCACCACGCATTTTTTTTTTTTTAAAGTACATTTTTGGTCCACGTTCAAATTGATCATTACGCGTGGAGAATGTGCCTTTATAGCAGTACGATAAAAATTCACCCCAAGTGGGTTCCCATCTCAGGGGGAAAAAAAAGCGCCTTGGATTTATTCCACTAAATGGGGACGTTTTGAATTGTTATGTATTTTCGCTTCATGGGGATAGAAGGCAGAAGAGGGAATAACATGAAGGCAATTCGCACCATTTAACCAAATTGCATTACGCTTCACTGTACTAATGCTTGCACAACGTGTGTGGACGGGGAGCAGGCTACAGCGCATTGCTCGGGTGAAGCAGGGCGCGTAGCATTGCTGAGGGAGCCACATCACACCGTTTCACACAAGACATTGTTGAAATTCCAAACGTGTTGCAAGCGCCAAACTATGTAGAACACAGCAGGGATTATTTTCTAGCAGAATGATCCTTGCCACTGTGTTGCTTCTTCTCTTTGTACGTGCACATGTGGTAGTGTCCCTTTGCAGTGTTACGCTTTCCACGCGCGGTGAAAGGAAATATTTGGGGACATGACGGTGACGTGTACGAACGTGGTGCGGGAAAGGAACACAGCTGTCGTACATTTCGTGGGTGTACATATGTGTAAGAGGTGGGGTGGAGGTATATGTACCTGTTTATGCAAGGGCTAAGAGTTCACAAGTGACGATGCCAATGCATACTACAAAATTAGAAGATACATATACCACGTTAAGTGCACCTTTAGGGTTGCCACAACATGGCATTCTACACACCAGTTGGGCTGACAATACTTCATTATATAAAAGAGTTATCGAGTGGGGGAAAAAAAGGAAACAACAGCAACACGTAGGTCTGTTTACGTATTCACTGGTGCGTGCACACAGGAGGGAAAAGCCCCCTGGATGGATGCACAGGTACAAGTTGTATAGTGCCCATCTCAGGTGCGAAAAAAATAAAAAAACATGAACATATTGGGATTGAAAAAAAAAAAAAATATATCTTCAAGTGACTACTGCTATTTTTTTTTTTTTTCCTCTTTGTTCATACAACACCATTTTGTGGGTATTACTATACATAGATTGTATTCCGCCCGATTACAAAGTTTCGTTTGCGGGTTCTGGAGTTACCTCCTCTGCGGTTTCCACTTCGCTTTCTTTAAGTGCCTTTTTTGTTTTGTATCCTATTATGCCAGATAATAATGTCAACACAACCATATTAATGAGGGCTGCACTGATTATTATTTTTCTGTTGGTTGCAGTTTTTTTTTCTAAGTTCTGTGCCACATTTTTCAGTTCTAGTAAAGCGCTTTCAGCAACAGCGGGAGGGGTATTGTTTTGTGCTGCATCTTTTTTGGGTAAATTGATATCTGCGTTATTTCCTGAGGGCACAGAAGCGGGAGTTACTTTTCCTCCTTTTGTTTTATTATTTTCATTTGCATTAACCTGAACGAGTACAACATTTAGCAGGACACACAAGACAAGGATTAGGGAGAAGGATGTCATGAATTTTTTGGCGTTCATTTTGGGGGGGCACTTTCGATAGAGGTCTTCTTCGTCTGTTTTGCTTATCTTGTAGGGTGTCCGCAGACAGGGGTAGTGTGTATGTGTGCGTGCGCTGCGCAGGCAGTTCTGCTGCGGGGGATATGATACGTAGGCCGATTTGTTTGTCACACAAATGGACGGTCGCGTTGATTCTTCTTCAACTTTACAAGGCAACGTGCGAAGTGTGAATAGCGCGCGTTTGTGTGAGTTGACGATTTGGGACAACAAAATAAGGGCAAAAAACGAAATGGAAAATGGGAAATGGGAAATGATAACTTCTGAAACGGCGGGGGAAACTTGTATTAACACTCGCCAAGTTGGCAAACTGGACGAAGGGTGGGGGGATGAAAATGTGCAAACTGCACAAGCTGCAAAAAAATAAATGATATCACCTTTGCGTGCAATTGCGCGTTTGAATTCGCGCAAAAGTGAAATCACGCAAGTGAAAGGAAATGGACAGTAGGTAGCGATTTTGCGAATAAAAGATCAGCAGCAAAGCGCTAATTGGGAAGAGTCATTTTTAAACAATGCATAATTTTCGCTCTTTCAATTTTTCCTTGCATTCCTTGACATTTTTTTTTTTTTTTTTTTTTTTTTCACAGGTGCAGCTCTGTATTCTTCCTTTTTTGGTGTGTCTAATTTGGATTTCCCCGTTTTCCGTCAGCAAGGAAATTTTTTTTTTTTTCGTGCTAAAATCGCACGTGCACATGCAAATGAGTATAGAATTGAATATATAATTATATATATATATTTTTGTGTGTGTGTTTGTTTTAACGCATGTGTAGCTAGCCGTGTGGGAAGCGGTGAAGATATTCGCGCACGCATTTTTGTGTGCGTGCTGGTGGACGCGCATATGTATAGGCATACGCAACATACACACACAGTGCATTTTGCGCACACCGGAAAGGGGCGGGCTACTTTTCCTTGCATGCGCTTCACAGCTTTGTATCCCCACCGGTGCTTTATCGGGAAGCGGCCTCAATGAAAGGCGCAATTACGAAGGGTTCAATTTGGTAGCCATGTGTTACAGGAAAAAATAAAGGCGGACAGCTAGCCATGTGTATTAATATGATGCCCAAGCCATGTCCATGCGACACGGTTCCGTTTCAAAGAAAGGAAAAAAAAAAAAAAAA